AAGCAAAAAATGTGTTGTGCTGGGCCAAGGTTCATTTTGCAGAGAATGTGAGACAGAGATTGTTGTGACACAGTATGAATTGCTTTCAGAATCCTCACACCTTGCGTTAAAGCCACTTGGCATGTGCCATAGGAAGTGCCAATTTGTGCTGCAACTTCACGAATTGCCATTCTTCTGTCACCATGAATTGCATCACGAACACAAGGGACTGATTCCTCAGTACGTGCTGTTAGTAGACAACAGGGGCGTGTGCCTTCTTCCATGGATGTTCGGCCATCTTTAAAGGGAGAAACCACTCAGATCTTTTCTGCCAGCTTAAAGTTTCGTCTCGAAGTACGTACTATGTTAACCATTTTATGGGCTTACGTGGCAGTCGTCCCAAGTTCCACAAACAAATTGATACAAACACACTTCTGTTTTATGCCAGCCACTTCATAACTGCAAACAGCAATTACATTTCTCTCATGAATGTAAATTACTCTTATAAAATGATGACTGATATAAAATGCAGCTGACCAAAGAGGTGAAGCCAGCCCTTTTGCAATTTTAAAAAGTAACTACTTGACTGTGTAGAGGATTTAAGCAACCAAATGAGCAAGCCCATGCAAGATAGATCAACACTTGAGTCTTTCTATGGGACCACAATTCAGCTGAATTCTAAACAGTTCTTTATATTTTAGGCCTGTGTTGAAAGTTGTAAATTTAACAAAGTATTTTTAAACAGCTAGTTGAAAATAGGTATTTCTCCCCTTAGATTTCCGTCTCTTTCAACATATTTTGGAACTGATGGGTAAAAGTAATTTTAATGTTTTTATTATTCTCCCTGGTTTATGGTTCATAAGAGATAGATCTTTAACCCACATTTTGAGCAGACCGCAGTAAATATCGGAATGCCGGTGATTTACGTGTTGATGCTGGGTTTTGGCACCGCGCAGACTCGTCAGTAGATGCCAATGTTTCGAAGAAACACACTGTCACCACCTGTAGGGTTAAGGCAGTATGTTCCTCCAAAACACTGGTAGTGACCTACAAGTCTACATGGCACACTGTTTACGAGGACTGTCAGACCGACATTTGGCTATTTTCAATGCAATTGATACCTTCCATATTTTTCACTTTGCTTTACTGACCCACAGATGTAAAAACAAAATTTATGCAAAGTATTAATCCCATATACTGGTTGGTACTCTGCACTATATGTAGTCTATGCATAGTTTGTATGTAACCCTTTCACAGGCATGACGCAGTTACTTGTGTGTGCAGTATAAATGTTCCCCTGGGTGTGGCTCAACTTGTTTCCACACGCTGGTCTAAAGATTGTCGTTGCATTTGACCAAAAGATATCTCTGCAATATTTGACAATAGAAGGCAATGTGATACCAGAAATCTTTGGCCCATTTACCCAGTTATGTCGTAGAATGCCCTATTTTGAGGAACGCCACACTATACAAAATTACTGGGACTTTAGACAGTTGTGACTTTACGTTTTCAAATCAGACAGAACAGAAATCTTTCAGATCAATCCACCCCAAGCTAAGTGTAACTTGTTTGTATGCACGTGTAAAAATCTGGCCAGGTGGAGGTGTCGCCATTCGATGAATCTTGTCGGTGTAATCGTTAATGTCTCTACGCTCTGTATATAGCTTTGTGTTGACTGATGTTGCGTTTAATTCCTTACATACCTTTATTTTCAGTGAGAAGTTTTTGTTCCTTGGGACTGGACTGTATTCTCAGATCCATTTGTGCGTTCTCTGCGGGCTGCTAAATGAAAGAAGTAGGTGACCATTATTGCAATGTTATTCACACACGGCGCAGCCCCACATTTACAATTTTTGGACTATACTTAGTAACTTTTTAATTGTGATTTGTTCTACATCCGCATGTGTCCATCTGCCAGCCTGTTGATAATTGTTATTGAGCTCTTCCTGGAGTTACTGGGTTTGCACTGGTCCCGTATAACTCGTAGCTTGTAAGAAACTCACCTCGGCGCACGAAGAGGCTGGCCTCTGTCCAACACAGGTTAGTTCAATGTGGATTTGTGTATACATGGAGAAACAAACGTGAACAATCAAGCCCCATGTTGGATGAGGGTTTACTGGACTTCATATTGAAATTGGCACCTAAACTTAATTAATCAGCCCACCTCTTAATTGTGGACACGGCTGCAAACGCGTGAGCGTGGTGTAAAGTGAGAATGAAGAGCGACGGCTTGAAACGTGGAACAAGGAGATAAGTGGGCGGCCTTAAATGTTCTTCCCATCGTACTTTTATCTTTTTGCATTTTATAAAAACGTTGTAACAACTTCGATATATTCGTATAAAACTAAATATTAGCTTAATATGTGCTTCAGTTAAATGTTTTTTAGATAAGCTTCTGGTTCGTTTGAGAGGTTATTCTTTTACTGAAATAGATTTACCTTAGAGTTCAAGTGAAGAAGAAAAGCTTCCAGCACAAAGAAGAAACCAACCGCAAGGAAGGTGACTGTCGCTCGTAATACTGGCGTGACGTGGTCATGATTATCGGCGGGAGACGCGGGTACGAGAGCCTTGGAAGAGAAATGTCGAATTGCAGGATTAAGTTTATGTTTTCGTTCCTTCTTGCAGAGCAAATCAGCACTGCAGAAAACAGAGGGTTCCGTAAACATTACTGCTAGCTGGGCTCGTGCTCCGCATGACTCCTTTTGCCTCTGCGTTTACCACACTGCGATTCAGAGGTGGCAGGGCAATGCACGTGATGCTACGACGTTTTATGTGGCAGTATACTTTGTCACTTGTTTCTGCATAAAATGTAGTCCAACTAAAAATTATTAAATACTTTTCAGGCCTAGTCGTTTCAGTTTCTTAGGTGGGGGACCATTCTTTACAGAATCTTCTTAAGTCGGAACATGGAATTTAATGGAGCATTTATTCTCTTCACAGTGCACTCACATGGGGTAGCAAGTGTAGCAAAGCGTCGCCACACATAGTTCCGACGGCCAGCGCTACGAGGAAGTGAAGCAGCTGTTGGTAGAAGGCTCTCTGCACGAGAGGTACCATTGCCACTCCTAGGAGACCTATGAGACTGATGACCAGCACGCTGAGTGACGCGTACAGCCAAGCTGAAATTAATACAGCGCAGTGGACTCTTTTTAGAACAGGCAGGGAATTTCTTGACTAGGTAAGTGACTATTAGCGTTTCAAGAAAGACTTGTTTCAGAGTTCAGACTCTGTGGCTCTTGGTCGGACTCCAGGGTTAACAGCGGTACGCTACGGCCGGCCAAACCGAGCTAATGAAAATTAAGAGGCGCATTCTGCTTACGTTAATTGCGGCAGGAGACATTTGATTTTACTCAAAGCGAAAAAGAAGAAATGAACAAACCTGAATGCTGCGTCGCTGTTGAATCGGTCTGTATCTGCTCGTCGGTCTCGCCGTAGCACGAACGCTGGTCCAGTTCATAGATAATGGCAGGGCATATGTTGAGGAACACGCTCGGCGAGATAACGAGGTTGTGATGTGGCTCCAGCCCAAATGTCTCCAGAATGTCTTGTGGCGTCAGACATTTGTTGGTCCATGGCAGTGGCTCGGAATAAGACGTGACTAATTCTGTGTAAGAGAATACGAAACCTTGTTATCAGTCAATTGTATTTGTGATTTTAGAACATCTTCATGTCAGTCTTTTGTTATAATAAATGCAGCATCCAGGCGTCAGGGCGGCCATTTTTGTACTTCGCCGTAAATGGCATCACGTGAATTTGTGAAGTGTAATCTTCACCTTTCTTATGGGAAAAATTTTGTACTTGGTGGAAAATGTGCTAAATATTTTGGTACTGTAAGAGAAGTGCAGAATAATTTCAGCTTGATGACTTGTGGTATTGCAGCCTACAAGATTTAATCCTTCAGAACCTTGAAGTGCCTCTGACTGATACAAATGAGAACATTACATAGAAGTTCGTTTTATGCAAATGTAATTTTCATCAGGCTTGCGGGAATAACATTTTCAAAAAGCATGACAAAAGAACGTCACTGACGTTCAAGTGTTCCCATTAAAACAGATTCCGTCTTCCTCTCTGTGATCTATCACTTGTTAATTGCGTCATTCTGTTTGTTATTTTCTGTACACTTTAACGTTTACAAAAGTTCATGCCACCTTTAATCTGGTCCAAAACATACGTAAGACAAATAAGTACATTTTAATTTAAGATTTGCCTTATTTGATGGTAACTCCAGTCGCTAGTTCTTTTTTTCTGTCAGAGGTCAACTGAAATCAGGACACCGATATCACTACCAAATAAAACACGCGACGAGTAAAAAGAATCTTCGCTTGTCCACTCGTCGTATTGAAGCAGGACGCTCTCCCAAGTTTAAATTAAGACTTTAGATAAAAGCAAAAAGCTTCCTTAGATATCTCCCATCTCGATAATTACCTCAAGGATGTGAATCAAGTCTTTAATTTTTCTAGTACGTCTATTTTGCTCACAGTTTAAGGCATTGACTCAGAGATGGAGTCGCTCGTGATTAGCGCTAACAAAGAGCCAACGAGCAGTCGGCAATTTGTGAGAATCTAAGGTGAGAGGTCGGTGCCCCTGGCCCTGCATTTCCGAGAACCCTCAGAGGTGGTTTTAGGGCGGCTGTACCTTGCACTTCCCGCCTGTTTCGTCCGCTTGAGGCTGAGGTGTTTTCGTGGCCGTGCTGGTGTAGGCGAAGGCTGTCGTGGACCTCTTGGAACGAGCCGTTCACCTTGTGCAGCGAGAGGCTGTGGCTCTTGTCGAACACCAGGCGACCCAGCCCCAGGTTCTCGAGCAAATGCTCGAAGCCCTGAAAGCAAGACGGGAGATTTTTGGCGTGCACTTCGGAAACTTCACGCTGAGTCACGCTAAAATGCAGTTTAACCTCGTCCCTCACTTCGTTCGACACTCAGCTCAGTCCTAGATGGCATGACCTCGCCGGAAGCGAGTTCTGGTGCGATCGGTTTCGACTGTCAGTCGCGTTGCCTTCTTGTCGGTCGGAGTGGAGGGGGTGGACCCTGCATCAGTTCTAAGGTCTGTCCTGTTTGAGGCGCATTTGCTGTGCTAAGCCCCACCAGCCTTCAGCACTTTGAACTTTGACCTAACAACAACCAAGGAAGTTGTTAGGTCTTCGACATTTTACTCTGTGGTGTCGTAACTGAAACTGATTTACGAAGCTGGTCTTCAGATGTTTTACGAGTGTTCGAATGTTCAGTGTATTCTGAACACACTGCGTACACATTCGGACAGACTGAATCAAGCTTTTCATTGATGTAGGCAACGCAGTCGAGTAAAGTTTAATTTTATTTTGTTGAAGCCTGCGTGCAGTTCGCGTGTGCGAGTTCCTTTGTTCCCGACATTTATCAACCGGACTGAATGTGAAACGAAAGCCGGCCTCTGACGTCGAGGGAAGGAGGGGCGGAGCATGGGGAAGTAAGAGATGCGTACAAAAATTTTGTTAAAGGGCCTGAAGAAAATAACACCACTCTGGAGACTTCGGCATTGATGGGAAAATAATATTAAAATGGATCTGAGGGGAATTGTATTTGGAGAGTTGAATTGGACTCATCTGGCTGAGGACAGGAACCTTTGGCGGGTTCTTGTGAACATAGATATGGAACCTTCGGGTGCCATAAGAGGCGGGGAATTTCTTGATTAGCTGAGGACACGAACTATTTATCAGCTTCTCAAGAAGGGATCTCTTGAATGCAGCCAGATAAAATTTTTTTGAGTGCATTGTATTGAAACGTCACGTCTTTCCAAGATAAATCAGCGTCAGATATGATTGCTAACTTGCAAGATGACCGCATTTGCAATGCGCTGTCTACTTCTACTGGTCCTGCAGTGCTTATCTGTTGCACGTGGGAGAATAATCTGATATAAAACAGCGCAATGTTTGTTTATGATAAAGTTAATAAAGCAGAAGACATTTTTGTTCTTAATGAGCGTTTTGATGTTTTGACCGCAAGTTATTGACAGGCCATCAGATATGGAAGAGTTCAAAGGTTACTCATATCTACGAACCCTGTGTTTTTCCCCTCCGAACTTCCTAGTGACAAATTCCTTTTACTTAAGTGCGTGACGTATATTTTAACCTTTTTATTATCTGCATCTCGCTCACTTGTGATCAGATGTTATGAAAATGCATATTAGTTCGCCCACGTCCCGCAGATTACTGATAAGAGTTTCGGTGGTTACGTTCTTTGCTCTCCAATCCCGTGTCCTGATTTGAAACAATCGAATGCCGTTCCTTACCTAAAATTACAGTTGATGCTCTTTCTGTAAAATTGTTGAGGGGTTCCAAATTTTATGATTTTACAGGGAAAATTAGAAGAAGACTCAGGTGACATCAACAAATGTTAAAGACGTATCGATGCAGGACAGGTCACACGATCTTATTTTAACAATCAGGACGGTTTAGAGTCACCAGCAAGGAATATCTGCTTAATTTAGCATGCGAGCTGCCAACTTAAAAACGAGATTAACACAACATCACCTCGAACGATATGACTCCGTGATCGCCATATTTGTTGAAGATCTGTTTCAGGAAGAACAGGTCTTCCCCTGATTTGTCGTGCGAATCTTGTCCCGTCGCACACCCCGCGAGCACTAACACTAACACTAACACTTCGGGTGTGTTCATGCTCGGTGGCACGGATTTTAACGCCATGTAACGCGGTCACCACTCGGCAGCCAATTGCATCACCAGAACAGTAGAGGTTACGTAGTCCACTTTCCCAACACAAGGGCCGTGCGTCTCTGGACCCATTACAGACACTCCGAGATCGTCTCTGATATGTTTATCAGTGCGTGTAATTATTATTCAAATATGACCTTCGTGTCGTTACTCTGTTTGCATTGTACAGGAATTAAAGACACAAACACATCGCTCACGATGATTTGTGTTGGTGATAGGTTTACGGCACTTGAAATCCGGCAGCAGAACTTTCCGTCGCCACTCCGTGGACTTTGGAATCTTCGAGGATAAACAGTTGACTGAGGCGGAGAAGTTTACGAACTGTAACGCGTTCTGACACAGAACTCGGTAGTCGAGTCTTTGAGCGTTGGAGGACAGCACAGGCCAATTTATGAGCAATTTATTTGATAAGATAATTCGCTGGTTATAATGGGAACACTCCCCCCCCTCCCCCGCCCCCTACATTGTCTGGTCGGTATTTGAAGCCCCAGCCGCGGGCTCAACTAGCATCCAGTCTGTCCTCTACCTGGGTCTAGTTCACCGGCGACTTCCAATCAGCGTTCATGCGTTTCTAAAAATCGACTTCAATGTTTCTAATAACAACTGTAGACTTGGGTCTGCATGGACGAAGCTACAAACAGCGATTACATTTTAAAGCTGTTCTGCAACTTCGCCGAAAGTTCGGGAAAATTATTTATAAAATCTATTTTCGTGGTTTACGTAACTTAATTTTGTGGTGGAAATTTGTTGACTGAAGTTATTACTGAATAAACAAGAAAACTGTCGTTCTTATAGGATTTTATAGACGAGGGAAATCGTCGGCCATATTTCCATCTTCCTGCTTCCATAAATGGCGCCCGACTCTCGTAGTTCGTGACGCTTGTTTCGTGAGAGGACCGCCTGCCGACAAGATCGATGTCGAGGCTCCGGGAAAGGATGCAGATTCAGGAAGCAAGGAAAATGCGACTTAAGACACAGTCAAACGAAGGCACTTCCCCATTTATTAAAGAAAGTTTCTTCGAGACTAAGCGTGAGGCGTGGCTTAAAGACAATTGGAGAAACTGAAATTACTCGTGGTCGTGACGTCTCAGAACGTCTTCCCAGAACTGCATTCGTTCCCTGAAGAGGTCTCGCCTCATGCTCAGCTGCCTGTCAATGCTGAGGTACACGTTCTCGGTCTTGGTGGCCCGGTCCCACGTGACGCTCAGCAGACTGTCCCGCTGTGGGGTGGGGTCCCTGCAATGGCGAGGAATGTGAGTGCCCACAGGCGTGAGAAATGAAAACAATTATCAGGCCCCTCCTCGCCACCCCGGACTTTTAGAACCACGTTATGCTTGAAACTGTGGGCATACGTACCCGGTTTTTGCGAAGTTGGTCCACATCTTCACCATGTTCAACAAAACTTTCATCTCGTCAGAATCTTCGTTCACAGGGGGGCTGATCGCGGTGTGGAACAGATATCCCAGCTCATCGGCGTGAGAGACGCCTGCAAATCAACGGGAGGCGAGCAGTTACGTTCTGGACTCTTACAAAATGGCAGTTCCGGTCCTGTTCCTACTTTGAGCTGCCTTTGCAGGCACTACCAGACACAACGTCTGCTTCCTCGTGGTGTTAGCAACGGATTCGATTGCTTACCGTCCATGACAGTGCCAAAGGCGAGCTTGGCGAGGCCCAGGGCGCCGTCGAACGCAAACAAGTACGAGTAGACGGGCGCCGTTGACAGGGCTGCCTGCATCTTCACCGTTCGATCCGCTCCGACCACGAACGCCAGGTCAGAAAACATCTTCAAACAGGCAGAGAAGAATTTAATTCCGGGTCGTACTAACACGCTCATTGAGAACGTGTCAACTCGACTGAACTTTGTTACGTCATTCAGTTCCTGTCTCTGATACTTACATCCACGTACCTTCCTGGAAGAGTTTTGTTAACTGTGCCGTCGTCTCCAGCGTAGAAAGTGAGTGCCTTGCGCGCTATTTCATTCGCCTCACTGCGATCGTCCATGTCCAGAAGGTCGGTGATGACATTCACCATTTGGTTGTCGAAATCCTCCCAGAAGGACGGGATCGACTGAATATCTGACGGAAGAAAAATTTTCGCTGCGTGAGTCGTCGGCTGACATTCGTTTCTGCTACGTAAGCGCCCATCTGAATGCCATGGCTTTACGCGTGGGAACAGCGACGCAGAGCGTCCGAAGAGCTGACAGGTCGGGGCGTGAGTTTCTGTCGCGTGTCAGAAACGCGGAGAGCAAAGAATCGGCGAAAAATTCCCTAAGACAAAGGAAGGTGAACATTTCGAATTGATGCAAGGCCACGCCTCGATCAGATAACTCGGTTTATTTTCCGAATGGACCTCAATCCTGCCCTTGATGCTAACACGTCTTTATTCAATTCTAACTCAGAAGCGCCGTACGTGTGTCAGCTGTTCATAACTCGACATGAAAGCACTGTGAGGTCCTCGGAATACGGGTCCACGTGCCCTGGTTTGCTGAATTCTGCGTGTATTTAATTTTTGCAAAGCGAAAGGAAAAAACGAGTGTCTTCCTGAGTTACTTGCATTTTGGTTAAATTTTAATGCGAATTGTTTATTCTTATGTCCAGATGGCAGTCTGTTGTTCCAGTGGGAAACTGACTATGCCACTCTCGGTCCTTCGACAGTCTGTCATTGCAGCTGACGGACTGACCTTCCATATAAATGATGGCTTCTCTAGAGTTTACCCCGGTTATGTAAGGAACGTTGAGGAAGTTTCCTGAAGCTATCAGCTCTGCCGGTTCGCCTGGCAGGAACACGTCTTCACCACTGACGCCTCCGTCCTCCCTCGTCGGCCTGACCGGCACCACCGTACCAGAGGTACTGAAAACCTGCGAACACGGAGTTCAGATAACAATTATGAGCATAATAAAGCCCCGACTTCTTTGAGGACGCCCTGTTGAACGGTATTTCCATGTGCGACGAGTGTTCTAGTCAGCGCAACCGCGAAGCGAACTTGCGCATCTGGAGCCAGGATGAAGACTCCTCACTAACGCCCACAAGCATTTTCGTCTTTTCCCACTTAATTTTCCATTCCACTTTACACTAGGGACTGTGCCCCTGCTCACTTCGCTCGGCGGGGGTGGGGTCCCCCCTCCCTTAACTCCCCGTGCTTTTGGCAAACCATTATTAATTACTTTAGAAATGGAAGGAAATGTCTGAAGATCTGAACCCACGCCGCTTTGCCCTTGCGAACCGCGAAACAGCCACTTACCCCCACGATGGTCTTCTCGACTATCAAGTCAGCCGGAGCTGCTTGCAGGCATCGCACAAGTTCCTGAGGGTCTGCAGTGCTGCAGTTCATCCGCTCGCCCACTGTGATCGCCTTCCTGCGCAGGAACTCCGGCTCGGCGTACGCCCACGGGTCCAGAGCTGATCCACTTTGAGCTATGGCTCGATGGAACAACCCTAAGTACAACAGGAAACAACGATCACGTGACAGCCATTTCATTAAACTGGCGCTCATCTCGCTCTGTTCTCTGATTGTTATTTTGCATTTCCGTGTTCCGGGGTTAACCGAAGTATTTTTTCCAGCTCCGGAGGAAAAGCCTTTTCAAAATCCAAGCAATTTGCCTTCCTGAGTTAAGTGCGTGGCTAGAAAATAGAGACATTTATTCGCCTTGCACTGACATCAACTTCGGATCATGAAGACTTTTCTGGTGCCTGTTTCCAGGACCAGTGTCGGTTTTGTGTGTGATCGCACGCCCATTTAAATTCAACCTGGACGTGGGTCACCGATAACACAGCGGACAGGAAGCCCCTGTTTAATGACGTCATACGGTCCGAATACGAAACAAACCAGGAACTAGCCGCATTTCTGTCAGTTCTTGAATTCTACTTAAATTGCGTGAAATTTGTGTCAGGGGCGAAAGAGGGTGGTTCTGGCTTCTGTTCTCGGTTTATCGATGGTAAAGTAAGAATTAAGAACAAGCTCCCCCCTCCCCCCCCCAAAAAAAAAGTTAAATAAACCACGTGAGTTCCATGCAGCCACTGAATTCTGCTGACAATTCAGACGTCGTCTAAAGGCTAATATCACGGATTGTCGCAGAGATCAAGATATCGGTTGATTAGCCACGACGGAATGCCTCAGACGAGGATCCGAACTAAGGTTTACGCCACCTCTGGACATTGGAGACAGCAGGTGGAAGTGCACGCTGGCGCCCCCTGCGCTCTCCCCGAAGATGGTCACTCTGCCCGGATCCCCGCCGAAGTGCTCGATGTTCCGCTGCACCCACCGCAGGGCCAACACCTGGTCCTTCATGCCGTTGTTGCCCGGAATTCCGGCCTCGATCAGACTCAAGAATCCTGGAAGACGGGAACCTTCGCGTAAAAATGCAACACAAATGAACCCAGGGCAGTTTTCGGGTTTCTGACTTCGGATCCTGCACCCTCTTTGTCGCTACGAGATTCTAAACCTAAAATAATTGCTCGGGTAAAATGTAATAAATTATTTTTAGAACTGTCCGACTCTACAAGAATCTATTTTAAATCCTGTCTTTAATCGAACACATTTTAATATTATCCTTCTCGTCATAATGTAATTTCCGCCGTCCTCCTGTTACTGCCCTTGTCTTGTTAATTTGTTTGTTCGACGACGCCATTTCAATTGTCTGCGTCGGCCTATTACCTGAGACGATCAAAGCGTAATAATTCACAACTTAAGGAGTCATTCTGTCATTTGCTTGGAGAAACTGAGATGAATCACGAAGCACCTCAGTCAAGGTTTGAACCGGCGTCGTACCTAGAAGTCCCAGCCGATAGTTGATGGTCACCAGGACAACATCTTCAGCGAGGATGTGATCGGGGCCGTACACGACCGGACTCGAAGACCCTCCTTTGTAGCAGCCTCCGTGGATCCACACCATCACAGCCTTCAGCTCCTCGGAAGCTTCAGGCAACTGTTGAGTTGTATTCAGTCATCAAATATAAATCGAGAAATGTTATATCCTTTTTTTGTCGTAAGTCGATTGTAAACTTTAAAAGCCGTCGATAATATTGGATTATAAATTCGATTGGAATCCACTTTAAACATGAGCGAGCCATACAACGAGGAACAGCTGTAGGAATTTTCTTCTCTCTGCGATATTCTTACCTTCTTGGTGAATACGTTCAGGAAGAGACAGTCTTCACTCCCTGTAAATTTGCCGGACATTAAGTCCTGCTGGGGACAGTGGCTTCCCTGTACGGTGGCATCGTAGGTCCCGGTCCACGGTTCCGCTAGTTGAGGAGCCTTCAAACAAATAAAGAGCACTGCAGGGCATTTTGTTAAAAACACGAACAACTGTTTCTCGCTCATAATTCGGTTTATTTTGTGATCTTTTCAGGTTAACCTTTCGTAATGACGTTTTCACAGAGTTGGGTTAGGTTAAGTTTATTTAGTGGATTTTGTTAGGTTAGGTTACGTTACGTTTTGAAAATGTTTACGACGTTTCGACACTTCTGGCCACATCTCGTCAAGCCGTTACAGTAAGTCACGCGTAGTCACGTTTAGACACTTTTCAGATCTTCGTCGTATTTTATCACTTAAGGTGACCTCTCAGCAGGCCCTTATGGCTGGTCACGATTGGGCACGCGTGATCACTAAGTCACTCTTCGACATACTCACGTTATGTTATGTAAGGCTCGTTTAATTTTTGCTAATTTGGAATAAGTTAGATGAATTTATGACATGTTAGGTTGGATTAGGTTGGTTAAACGTTTTGAAAATCTTCGTCACCTTTCGACACTAATGGAATATCTCTAGTGTTTTGTCTCATTATTCTATTTTTTGAATTTTGTGGTGCATATAGAATTTAGTATCGTGGTCGAGTCACTGGGAACACGCCCATAGAATCAAATATCATTCAGATTGCTGCAAACAGTTCAAACACTTTCATTAAGGGACAATGTCTTTAGGACAGCAATTACCATTCCTTCACAGCTTCAATACCGAGTCAGTTCTCAGCTCGGGCAGACAGTACTTAAAGAGAATTAAATCGTGCCTTGTACCTTGAAACGCAAGTCTCCCACTGGGGGTCTGGCGTAAGGAATGCCCAGAAAGGCGAGGACCTCTTGACTGCGGGCAGATTCGATCCGGAGTCCTCTTAGAAGCCCTCGCTCCGTCCGAACTGTGACATCGTAATCTTCAGCTGGAGCCGACAGGAGTTCGTTGGCGCTGGCCAGAATGACCACGAAGGTGAGGACGGTCGCCATTCCTTCTGCCAATCGACTGGCCATCCGAAGGTAATTAAGAGCTAACCGATGTTAAAAGTTAGACCGAATGGCCGGCCGGAGGCCACGCTCCAGTGGCCCATCTGTTGTGTTCCCATTGTTTATAATTTCCTGGTAAATTGTGTAGTGCAGTGGAATTGACGTATTACACACCGGAAACAGATACTGAGATATGTTTAATTGTTTCGCGGTAACCAAATGTGCGATCAGAGCACAAGAAATACTGTTGGAAGCAATTAGTGTCAATCACGAGTTACTTCCACAATCAACACTTGGTATCCACTTCAGTAAACCGATCACAAATCTTATACTTGCAATTATGACCATAAAATCATAAGAAATACGTCAGAAAACATTCTTCCGCCCACGAAGCTTAAAAACCGCGCTCCGTGAACACGCCATTGTTCGTTGGATTTGACTACCAACATTACCAACCTAACGGCAAGCATCTTCTGTACCCAAGGTATCCGTCTGTAAATATTTTGTGTAACCAATGGTCTACTCCCCCCCCCCCCAAAAAAAAATAGTGTCATTCATTCGAATTTAAAGTTATTTTAATTCAATATTAATTTTAAGCACACAGTTAGCGCATTACATAAATAGTTTACCTGTAGAAGGAACTTTAATATCGAAACATGCCACTAGCAAACTGAATTTTTAAAGATAAACAGATTACATTGTCAGTCTGTATCCAATCCACGCCTTCCAACGTAATTTCCATAAGACCCATTTAAATTATTCTACCATCTACGCCTAGGTCTTCCAACTGGTCTCTTGCCCTCAGGATTTCTAGCATTTCGCCACCTGCCACTTCATTCCTCCTACGTCCATATTGTGTTCGCCTCAGCAGCCAAGAAGACAGAATAATCTGAATTTAATCTGCTCTTAGTTTCCTCGTGAATGCGATTTTGATTTGAAAGATGTTCCTGGGCCTGCGTGAATTTGGTGGTGAATCAAGTGTCAAGGATGGATGGATTACAGTTCTGGAAGAGAAACATTCTAGCAGCCGAAACGTCGCCGCTCTACAATGTGATCCGTCCTCGACCAGACAAATGAGCTGTTTTTGGACAGAAAGACAAATAACGAGTATTATTCTTTGTGATATCCTGAGAAAAAATACCGGAAATCACATTTGAAGAACGAAAACTCATTTGGCTGTTTGGAAAATGGACCATCAGTGGCGAGTCGCAGGTGAGGCCCCGTGTCAGTCAGTAACAAAGAGCAGGATATAATGAAACAAATTCCCTGCTGTGTTTTTTGAACGCGTAGATTACTGCGATTAAAACCAGTTCCTAGTCGCGTAAAAAACGCTTTATTACGCAATCGGTTCGCTTCGGTTGCAGGCGGACGCGATGCCCCCTGACCGTATGTTGTCCCGGCGAGCAGCCGAACCTGTTGAAATTGTGTCAGGTAGAGACAAGATTCTTTCTCAGGACAAGTGCTCGGGTATATTATTAAAAAGTACCGAGGTTAAGTACTTTATAATAATGAAAGGAGCTGTTGTTGGCCAGTGAACTCTGCTAACGTAAGCTTGGCACGTTAATACGGGCTCGTAAGTGTCGTGCTGAGTCCACTCGTACAACTGCCCTCGAATGAAATTTCTTCAGTACTCCGGGGATGACCTCTTCCAAAATATCCAGATGCCCACATGATTTACCGACAAGGAGGCAAAATGGACGTAAAACCTGAACCTATCTACATTTTTAGATGGGAGTAAAACAGACGCAAGATTTCACGGGCAGTTGAAATTTTGGAGAAGAGGAGACGCCTCTGATTATAAGCAAAAATGGAATCGGTTGACGTACACATGGAGTGAACGAGTTTGGAGCACATGAAACCTTGCGCTTGCAATCGAAGTGGTGGGAATCCCAATTACAAGCCGAAGACCGGCTATAATTTTAATTCCTGAAGTTGAAGATCTAGGTGGAGAATTGACTCGACCTTGAAGCCATTAATATCATGTTCACGCGGTCATAAAACTTTGCCCCTCACTAAGAAGTTTCCCACTGCTGAAGCACTAGAAAGGAAATTAACGGACATTTGAAGATTTCCACAAACGTTTCAGAGGTCATACTGCCTCCGTCATCAGGCAGTATGACCTCCGAAACGTTGGTAAACATCAGACTACACAGCGCAACAACCCAGAAGACAGAAATTCTTCATACTCACCGCTGTGAAAACCTCAAATCTTACATAACAGACATTTGAATGAGTTTTATCTTACGCGTATTAGAACGGCTGTGCGACTGCGCAGATGGGTGCTTATTTTTGATGGTCATGTAATTTCTCCACTCAAGTAGTATCTGTGAGGCCTCAAGCAATTACAACGATGATCAACAAATTCACTATTTAGCTGTTATTCTTTATCGGCATCGTTTTTATTTCTGAACGTATTCCACCAGGGATGAGTAGTGTTATCTGTGGTTATTACCATTTAACACTGCACAGCGCGTATTTCAGGGCGTTTCAGGGAGTTGCCGGACAGAGATGAGTATTCGTTGGCGGTAGATAAGTGGCGAAGGAAGGTGACAGTAGGGTGTATGTCAACGTGGTCTGAGCGTGGCTGTAGAACCATCAGTTTCTAATGGACAGCACAGGAAAGAAAGTTATTGTATGTGACAATGGAACGGGGGTACGTATTGTTAATGCAGTGACATACAATGAAACAATGTTTTCTTTTGATTGTTGATAATATGTAGATGGAACGCGTTTCCCTGAAAACGATACAGTAGGCGATTTTGGTCTTATTTTCGATCCACTTCGAAAGACTATGCTGGATCTCAGTTGTCTTTGTCACCATGTGTTAGGTTAAAATCAATCGGTGTAATGTTGCATGTTGATAAACACATTAGAAACCTGAAAGAGTTGTGCATCATTTATTACTAGTGTATAATAATAAAGTTGCTAATGTTGGTAATTATTAATAACGTAGAGTTAATGTAAGGTATTGAGAGTTAAGCACAGGGTTGTAATCAGTGTCATTCTTTTGTGCCATGTCCATTGCCCTTTTATATATCCACTGAAATCATTTAAAATATTTTTCTTCGTCAAAATTGTCTGCCTTCCAGTTTGTCAAGTGTGGCTATGCAGGATCTAACTTCCCAGCTCACATTTTCCCTTCCATGGTTGGGCGACCCATCATACGAGCAGTTAATAAGATTGGTGACATAGAAGTGAAGGTAAATTTTAATTTTTCTCATATTTAACCAATATTTAAAAGTGTTATTCTTTTCTGAGATGTAACTGTTACAGTTGGTGGAATATATTTGTTCTCTTGTGCTGAGAGATAATTTTTAGTTCACCAGTTGGTTGTCTGAAGTGTGAGTATCTTCCTGAAAAGCAGCAGAAATGTTCTTCATGTTGCACAAGAATGGTACTAATAGGACTAATTTTTTTGCAGTGTTTTTGGTGTTACTAAAGCAGTGGACTGAATTAAAATTTCACAGTATGAGTTACAGTGACGTAGATGAGAAACCGTGTTAGAAGCGTGCATGAAGTACCATTTCTCTGCTGCTTTGGAAAGATTCTGCTCTTCGGTAATATGTAAGAGGTCACTTCCATAATTTAAGTCTGCATGTATGAGCTGTAAAATAACATACATCTCTGATACTGTATTTATGAACTGTGGTGTTGGAATAATAATCTGTTTTATTTCAGGATATGTATGTCAAAGTAAGGATTCAAGATTACTGTAAGCGTATTTAATAACGAGTTTTAATTTTATTCGTTGTGTCCTCATACATTAACATCTCTTAATGCACAATTCTGAGTTTGTGACAAGTGCATGATTTTTCTGTTTGACATTTTTTGTGTCTCTTGATCATTTATTTCGTTATTTGTTGCACATAATTGAGTTTATTTTCATGTAAAATTTTGCATTTAGTATTTTTTTTCATCATGCAGCTTACACTCCATGTTATAGAATACTATGTGAGCCTTGTAAATTCAAATTCTCTTTTTGACGCTATTGACAAAATTGCAGTATGAAATGTATTTATTAATTTATTTTCAATGGCATTCCTCAACTTAATTCACCATACTTGATAATGACATACCGATTTAAAAGCTCAGATTGTAGCAAATACGCCCTGTAACTGCAAAAATTCTCAATCATTTGACATAAGTAAGACAGGTTTTCTAGTTAATTGATTATTAGGTACATTCACAATTTGAATGTACCAAAATGCGCCTTTTAACATCTTGGTGTCTGTCCACTTGCAACAATTTTAGAACTGCTTGATGGATTTTAATGAATTTGATGTTGGGGACCTAAGGGGTGAGGGGTGTTTGAAACATCCCCTCCCACCACGAGCTAACTGTAAGGTTCCAACAGCCGCCAGAACCTGT